ACAGAGTGAACAAAGGTGTAAGGAGGATTAAAGAGACAAAGCTGCAGAGGCATGAACGCTGACTGAGATGCTGAAAACCCTTCAGGCTGCGCTTTCGTCATACATGGAAACTGACTTGTGATCACAGCATATTGGGATAGGTTGAGAACAGACTTCTCAAGAATGCCACAAAATTCAAAGAAACCACATGCAAAGCACACATATCAATTTTGAGTCAGAGTTAAGTGTTTAACAAACACTTGCTCACCCGTGACTGACAGACCAGTAGTAACTTCTAACTTAGAATCAAGTGCCTGCCAGGCTGCCAGGAATCCCAAGTACAGTCTTCCTGGGTGGCTTCTGTGATGGGGCCTGGTGAAGGCATAATGCGGCTAGAGAACTACTGCCACCTAGTGCTGTTCCCGTGCCATAGCATAATACTTTGCTAACGTTTGTCAGGTCACCTGTATAAACAAACCAGTCACACAAGTCACATCACTAACACACAACTACTGTATTATGTATTAATAGCTTATATATTTACTGTAATATACTTTAATGGATATTTTAGAGAATAGTCCTTCTGCTTGCTTTTTTGTTCTTTTAAGTTAAATTGAATCAGCCTCAGACAGGTCCTTCTCAAGTATTCCAGCAGAGGTTATGTGATCACAGGAGGTCACACTCCAAGTGTTACTGATAAGGACCCTCCAGAGGGACATGATACAGAAGTGGAACACCGTGATGGTAAGCCTGACCCTGTGTATGCATCAGGTAATGTGTGTGCTTGTGTCTTAATTTTAACCAAAAGGAAATAAGCTTTAAAATATAAAAGTAAATTATACAAGTCAGATTAAAGAAGTGTATGGTAATACAATGTGCTTCTGTTTTTAAATACAAGTCAAAAAGATCTTTTAATAGTTCATAAGGTTAAGAGATTTCAATATGCTAAAACTTTAACTCCTGAAGAAAACCTTTTTAAAAATTCAGAGTAGTCTTGTGTGTGTTGTTTACGAAGTCTACAGGAGTGTACATAAGGTCTCCTGTCTTTATGTGCATTCATCACTCACTCACCAACTCACCCAGAAGAACTAAGTGCTGAAAGCTTCAGGCAGGGCAGTGGCCTTGCACTGTGTGCCAGTTTTCATATGTGGTACCATATCGTCACTCTGATTACATCCACCAGTACTTACCATTGTACAATAACTGCCTATCATGTTCGGGACAGCAACGCTGTATACAAGCTTTATCTTAGGAGTGATGGACTAGACCATGTAGCCTAGATGTATAGCAGACTACATCACTCAGGTTTATATAAAATTGAAATCACTTAAAGATGTATTCTTTGAGTTTATTCCTATGGCTAAGTGAAACATACATACACCACACATACACAGAAACCATGTGTTTAGCCCTACCCTAAGGCAAATGTTGCTGATATGAACTAATTCCACTTCTATGATGAATATTATTCTTTTTTTAAAGATTTATTTATTTATTTATTATGTATACAATATTCTGCCTGCATGTGTCCCTACAGGCCAGAAGATGGCACCAAATCTCATTACAAGTGGTTATGAGCCACCATGTGGTTGCTGGGAATTGAACTCAGAACCTCTGGAAGAGCAGTCAGTGCTCTTAACCACTGAGCCATCTCTCCAGCCCCTGAATATTATTCTTCATCTCCAACTTAGAGCCCTAGAATTTGCTTTGGTCAATTAAATATGAGTAGAGGTTGTTATGTTTCATTTGGGAGTGAAGGCCTTTAGGTGGCAGCGATTCATTCTCCAAGTCTTTTCCTTCTGCTGTGGCAGCTAGTGATTGTGACAGAAGAAAATTCCAGTAGGGGGGTGTTACAATAGTAAAGTATCCTAATGATCCTCCAAACAGAGTATCCTGGAGAGCCCCATATCCACCTTATTTGAGCAAAAAGTAAACCTTGGTTGCATTGAACTGCTGGTATTTTGTCATTTCAGCAAAATATCAGATGACTTGGATACAGTCAACTGGTACACATCCCACCATAAAAACAGAGCCAAGGAGAAAGATGTAGGAATTATGATGTAAAAGGTAAGGGAGACAGTAGAACCTTGGCTCCCTTCCTGCTCTGTGCTCACCTCTCTGCAGTGATCCTCAGCTGTGCTGGAAGTGTCACATGCCATGGGAATATCCAGGTGAGTTGTGGAAACAATTTTGTAGAAAAGTTTAAAAACCATAAATTGCCCAACATTTTACCGCTTTGCAAAATCTTCACTGCTTTGCCTGTCAAGTCAGAGATGGATGCGGTGATAGGAGGTCTCAGCAAACTGCAGCCTTAAGTATTGTCCCAAACAATCATTTTTCACAAATAACACAACCTCTGTGGACCTATGTAGGCTCTGGAGGATCAGAAAATATTACAGCAGCTGTGAAAGCTGCACATAACAATTTCTTCAAACCTTGCATTATTCTACACATAACTGAAATATGAGAGTCATTAATAAAATTGTTGACACTGAAAAGGCTATGAAAGATGTACTGTCTCTGATTATATTCCTGCTTACAGAGCAGGTTCCCCTCTAGACCTGTGTAGAGCAGACAAGATCTGTCTTTTTTTTTTTTTTTTTTTTTTTTGGTTTTTCGAGATAGGGTTTCTCTGTGTAGCTTTGCGCCTTTCCTGGATCTCGCTCTGTAGACCAGGCTGGCCTTGAACTCACAAAGATCTGTCTGGTTCTGCCTCCTGAGTGCTGGGATCAAAGGCATGCGCCACCACCTCCCAGCAAGATCTGTCTTTTATCCACCTGTAACTGGGATTTACAGTAGGAGGTGCTGAAGTACACATCTCACAGCAATAGCTGCCAGACCCAGCACTCGACAGAAGCACACACACCAGCATATGATCGTGGTTTCTTAATACTCAGGGCTTTATCCAAGAAGCATGGTTGCTTAGGTATTTTTCCAGTGATACTGAAAGATGAAGCTATGGATAAGTAAGTCCATACTAAAGGGATGAAATTAAGTAAAAACAAAATGGTGAATTTAAATGGAGGAGAGATGAAAGAAGAAGGACCCAGAAAAGATAAATAAATGGGAGCTCTGGTGATGCTAGAGCATTGTGGAGAGAGGGAGAGAGAGAGAGAGAGAGAGAGAGAGAGAGAGAGAGAGAGAGAGAGAGAGAGCAGCCTATGCTTGTCAAGGATTATAGTAGTTCTTTCTTGCCTAGACAGTTCTTCATTGACTCAGGGTTCAGACAGTTTGAAGGGTACTTTTGAGAGAAGCATGTCAGAGTAAGAGCTTCCTTAAGTAGAAACTAAATACTAGGGTTAGGGGGCTGATTTCATTCGGTAAAGTGCTAGTTGCACAAGGACTTGAGTTCAATCTTAAGGACCTGAGTTCAATCTCAAGAATCTAGATAAAATATATATTTTTTAATCCAGGCATGGTGGTAAGCTTCACTTGTAATATCATACAACACTACAGAGGCAGAGACAGTGGATCCCTGGGGCTAATTGGGCAGGCAGCCCTGCCTAATTGCTTATTCCTAGGTCAGTGAAAGACATTGCCTCAATACACAAGGTGGGTGGCTCCTAAGAAATAAAACTCAAGGTTGAGCTGGGCGGTGGTGGCACACGCCCTTAATCCCAGCACTCGGGAGGCAGAGCCAGGCAGATCTCTGTGAGTTTGAGGCCGGCCTGGTCTACAGAGCGAGATCCAGGACAGGTACCAAAGCTACACAAAGAAACCCTGTCTCAAAAAACCAAAAACAAACAAAAAACAAAAACAAAACAAAAAAAAAACCAACAAAGTTGATTTTTGGCCTATACACTCACTGACACACATGCTCCCCCATGCACCAAAAAGTGAATTCACACATGCACAAATAGACATAAAATAGAAACCAGACACTTGCTGTGTGTAGAAAATTCTACAGATAAACAGTTTATTGAAATTCTGCAAACTCTATATAAATTGATCCTGTGATATCAAAAATAGATATATATGTGTGTACAGATATGCACATTTATGGATCACGTGGTTGAACTCTTCTGTCTTTAACACTCATCTGTTCCCCTTGCTCTCTGCTGCATGTGCTCTTGGGCAGTCTAGAACAATCTGGAACTGAATAGCCCTTTCACTATCTAGAATAATACCTTAACACCACTAACTCACCACAATGGCTCATGAAGTTCTTTTTAACTTGATCATAAAAGGCATGGATATTGCATACATTATTAGAGAGGACATAGCTTGGACAATCTTTGTTCTGTTTTTGACATTGGGTAATCTGAGTGCTGAGGATATAAAAGTGGCTTGGCTAAGGCCACAGAGTGATTCAGGGACAGAAGGCAGAGTGATATGGAATTGACCGAGGCACTCTTGCAAACTGGTTTTCAGCTTGTGACTTTTCAATGAGGCAAATTTTCTGGGGGTCAGATGTCTTAAAAGCCCGGATTCATTAGTTTTCTCTGTGTGTTTCTTCCTTCCTCTCATTCTCTAACGCTTCTTCCTTCTTAATGGATCTTACACCGTTCTGGTGTTTTCCAGTTTTCTTTCTTCAGTGAAAACATGTTGATAAGGCATTGTCAGTACCAAAACAATTCTCTTCTGGCGTATTTTAATCCTTTTACCACATATTGATCCGTTTTCTCTTAGAGAAGCCATTATGACTCGGCTAGTTTATATCCTGACAGTTTTATTTTCCAGGTGATTATCGCTGTTCTTGCAAGTCTCTGCCTCATACTAATGGATGTTCATTTGTGGCTATATGAGGCCTGCTGAAATTGTTTTTAAAAGTCAGCTGTATTCCAACTCTCCCTGGAACAGTCGATGTGTTTTCCGAATATTCCTTTCCATGCTTCCGGACAGAAGGGGATGGTGTATAAGGAGGTTTGTTTGCTTAAGGTGGACCCTAAGAACCCAGCCTCGAATTCTTGGTTGGGTGTGGATAGCATTGGGTCTGTTGCTGTTTCTGCCTCGGTACGATCTTTTGCAGAGCTCTCGGCTGTGTCGCCGTTCGCCTTGTTGGAGCCGCCAGGGGACGCTGTGGCCCGGAAGCGTAGCGGCAGCTTGGCGCAGACCCTCCCCCGGCGTCCCGGCACCGCCCTGTCCCAGGCTCCTTTGCGGGTAAACAGACATGGCCGACGAGGGAGATCACCCGGACGCTGCGCACAACATGGGCAACCACCTGCCGCTGCTGCCTGGTAACCTCCGGGACGGGCGCCTGGCCACGGGTGGAGAGCGAGGCCTGGGGCCGACCCCTCAGGAAGGATGGGGACAGCAACCTGGGTGCAGCGGCGAGTAGGGGAGCTTCTCAGGAGCCTCGACCGCTGCAACCCTGCGCTTTCCTCCCGGCCTCTGTCTCCTGGGCTGTGGGGGGATGTTGGGGCGAGGGACTTTGGTTTCCAAGAGCAGGGACCCAGTCCTGTCCATCTTTCTCCTTAGCAAGCCTCCATGGAAATGCTCTGGGACCAGGCGACGTCGGAAACCGGGTTACATTAGTAGCCGTTCCTTTTCTTGCACGTCTGTCTTTTAATACCACTGACAGCTAATATGTACTAAGCACTTAACACGTCACGCGCCACGAAGTGAATGCTTTGCATGCCTTTCCGCTTTTACTGCTACACCTGTCACCTGTTCAGAACCTTGCTTGTTGGAGGAGAGATGTGTCGACGAATTGTTAAATGTGTGTACAATTTAGTGACATGGAAGCACACACAGTTGCAGAGAGACAGGGCTCTGCGGTGTGCTGATCTGTCAGCACAACAGGTATCGCTTAACTACCTCTCTGTCGAGGCCATATTTGGTGTTTTTTTTTTTCAGGTGCGAAAATAATATGCTTGCATATTACCACTCAAGAGAGTGGTATTACCAATTTCTTTGCCCTGTTCACTTTATGTCTGCATACTTTGTGACAACTTACATTGTAGTACTGAATATTAAAAGGGCATGAATTAGTGGTACATACTATTCCTAGAATGCTATAGACAACACAGACTATTGCCCGGGGCTTTGGGTTATAAACCACGCAGTGTGTTAGCTTTTGTTTATATGAAAACCATCACTATACACACCATTTTATTTTAAGGAGGTTCACAGTTGTGGTGAGTCTATTGAGGGTAATTATAATCTCAGGTGCAATTCATTTAGGGCCAGATAAGCAAGTGCTGTTAGGGTTTTTGGGATTTGTGTTTGATTCATTGCAGTGCTGATTTGGATACTCTTGAGCTGTGTCTCCAACTCCTCTTGTAATTTTTCAGAGGTAGGGATTATTCTAGGGTTAGAGGATTTGAAGAACAATCTTGTAATGCAGATTTACTTAGGATACAGTTGTGGTCTAGGTGAGTTGTAAGTTGTTGAAAACTTGCATCTTCAGTCACTTGAGTTAGGTTTTTTTGTGGGTTGTGAAGAAATTATTTCAGGTTTTAGGTAGTTGCCTCGGGAAAGCTGTGCTTTGGGTATAAATCTGTTCCTTGGTAGTGGTTTAGCCTGAAGGAGGGAAAACCTGGGTGCCGTGCCAGTGCATTGAAGGCACCTTTTGTCTAAGTCACGGGTTGTTTGTGAAGCTCTTTATAAAGTTTATAAAGGTAGGTAAGTCATCTTTCAACAGAAGAGATTTTAGTGATATCAGCTCCACTGTGGATGTGCCAAAGGTTTAGGGAGAGTGGCGGAGCGGAAGGAGGAAGCTCATGTTCTGTTGGCATTCCCCAAAGCTCCTGCATGAGTCATCAGTAGCCCTGAAAAGTCTGTGTTTTCTCAATTTAAAATATTAGAAGGAAGAAGCTCACCGATGTTGTAGATGTAGAATAGTGGTTATCCAATTTTAAGTTTTTATTGCTGGAGAAACTTTGGCTTGCCCCTTGAAGCTATGTCATATAAAAAGTGATCATCTTTAAGTGCTAAGGAAATTGCTTAACATTTTAGGTGTGAGGAGTCTATACTGGACAAATTTAAATGCTCAAAGATAAACATTTCCAAGTGGGAGAAGTGGGTTTTAATTTGTTTACGAGAATGGCTACCATATATAACAAATGCCTTTAAAGAATAAAAGTAGAAAATGTCAAGTGTAAATTTTGTATAACTGCAGCCCTTGAGCTAATAGAAGATATTCTAAGTTTGCTGTAGTAGAGAAGAGAATGGGTCTCTCCAAATGTCAAGTAAAATCTAGGTTTTTAGAGTTACAGATGAAAAAAATTACTTTCAGGATGTTTTTTCTCATTTTAGTTTTGTCTTTATCTTTTGATGAAACTTCCCTATTGTCAAGAAAAACATGTTCAGAAATGCTAAACATCAGCTACCTGCATACGTCTTGAAATATGTTCTTCTCTTTAACAGAGCCTTATGTCTAGGAATTCATAATAAATATAAGGTTTCAGGCATTTACTTTATTATTGTAAAATCTTTGTATTTTCTGTTAGGAACCTACTTACAGGTGGTTTGATTTAAAAAAAAAACAACAACAACAACAACTTTCTCAATGGAAACACCAATTTGCAATCAAACCTTATGCATTTAAAAGTTTTTTGGGAGGAGCATTTAAAAATATATGAACAGAAATGAGATTTAGTGGGTTTTGATTCTTAGTTTAGGCCAGTGTTTCCCAACCTTGAAACTCAACATTTCAAGCTGGAGAACCCCTTCTAAGATGTACCTCAAGCAGTACAGGGTGTTTAGCAGCATGCCAGGCCAACACCTAGTTGGAGTCCCAGGATTTTTCTAGTTGTAACAGTCAAAGATATCTTAATACGGTACCAAATATCATAAATGGACACAATTATGCTTGGAGTGGGAAATGAACCCATAGTTGGTAGGAAAAAAAAAAATTCTTATTTAATAGAGTAACACCTCTATAAAGTAGTAGTTTGTTTTGGTGTTTGGGGCTTTGATCTCTGCCCTTGGTAGCAAGAATATTTTTTTAGGGGGGGGAGGGTTTCGAGACAGGGTTTCCCTGTGTAGCTTTGCGCCTTTCCTGGAACTCACTTGGTAGCCTAGACTGACCTCAAACTCACAGAGATCTGCCTGGCTCTGCCTCCCAAGTGTTGGGATTAAAGGCGTGTGCCACCACCACCCAGCAGTAGCAAGAATTTTTAAAGTAGATCAGCTTACTTTTTATAATTTCAAAAAAATATGTGCAGAAACAGTTCTTAAATCTCCTTTAAAATTGTTTTTCTTCGTGCCGTTATTTTTAAATTTAAAATAACGAAGCAATGTTTGTATGAAAATAATTGCAAACATTTAATTTTTAAATATATGATGATGACCGCTGGGAGAGTAGTCAGTGCCCTCTGCCAGGTTTTAATGGAATCTTTTTCCACTTTAACAGATCTTTCTTGCCTACTTATTTCTTCCTTGCTTTCTTTTTCACAGAGGAACTCTTTACAGCTAAAGTTTGAAAGCTCCTTAAATTATTGTGTCAAGCCTTCATTTTTTTTTTCTTCAGATGAGAAAGCTAAGCGTTAATCAGTTGGAATTCATTATATAAGGGGTCAGAATTAGTTTTGATAGAGAAGAGAAAAATCGTCCATACAAGAGATTTGCACATAGTTTAGCTGTTTCCCTTATAAAGCTGTACCGGTTGCTCTGCTTTCTAAAAGTACAGTGTGAACGGAGGGAAAAGGGAATGTTACAGTGAAGGAGCCTGATGGCTGATTCCCTAGCCAGATGATTAAGGGGAATGTCAGCCCCTAGGTCAGGTGGACTGTATGTACTCTTGATGTGAGGCGAGGAAACACCACAGTCCTCAGCTGAATCCTGAGAATTACATCAAGTGGACCCTTATTGAGGGATGCTTTGTAAAGCACCAGATAAGTACTCTGAATGATCAGGGCCTCCCCAGCCAGGTAAACAGAAAATTGGCCTGCCAGAGGCTGGAAAAGAGCCTGATACCTAAATATAATGTGGATCCTGGAGGGGAGTCTATAACAGAATAATGGAGATTAGCTAAAACCTAAGGAAATCCAAATCAGGAATTTAGTTAATAGTAATGTGCCAGTATTGATGACTTAGTTGTGACAAGAATACTGAATGAATGTATGATGCTAACTATGGAGGAAGAGAAAGCCTTTGCATACTAGAATTCTATTTTTCCAACATTCCTGTAAATCTTAAAGTATTCTAAATTAGTTGATTGTGAAGAACAGGGAAGAAAGGAGGAAAGCACTCTCATGGCAGAAAGAGCATAGGCCGGGTTCCCCGCTGCCTCTGCACAGCTTTCTTTATAAGGAGGTCTGTCCTCGGGGCAGGCTGTGTGAAAGGGAACAGAGTTGGCTGGTTTTTGCATCTCATTGTTTTTCTCCTGTTATTCTACTTCAGCAGAGAGTGAAGATGAGGAAGATGAAATTGAAATGGAAGTAGAAGACCAGGATAGTAAAGAAGCCAGGAAACCAAATATCATCAACTTTGACACCAGTCTGCCAACGTCGCATACAGTATGTAATTTAGTCACGGAGCTAATGCAGCAGATGGACCTTTAACTGTACTTGGAATTTCCTAAATGCAAGTGACTGAAGGATCCTGCATATTAGCTGACCTGTTGTTTCCCAGTGCATGTAATTCTACAAGTTGAAATAATGTAATAATATATTCTCCTGTAATTCTTGACTATTTTCTAATATGCAAACAGATAATGTTAACTTTTAAACTTATCCTGGGTGTGCCTCTTTGAGGAATTGTCTTCTTCTGAATGAGTCTACTAGTAACTGAGCCATTAAGAATGTATTACTGCTGGGATGTGGGGTGGAATTCTACATACCAACATTCTGTCATATGAGTTGTCATATTTGGACACAGAGGGGTTTTTGGTTAAAATAAGATATTTTGAGCTACAAAATGCTAATGAGAGATTCTTCATAAAAATTTGGGGTTCTAGTAGGAAATACTAGATCAAAAGTTAGAGTTTGATGGAGGTGTCTTCTATAACCAAGCTTATATAAATAAATGTGTGCTCTATTTATGTAGTTGACTCTACTATTCTTTAATCTCTTAAGGTGTATTGAGTGTCTGTCTTGACTCCGTGTGTGTTCTTGAATAGTACCTAGGAGCTGATATGGAAGAGTTTCATGGTAGGACTTTGCATGATGATGACAGCTGCCAAGTAATTCCAGTCCTTCCTCAAGTGATGATGATCCTAATTCCTGGGCAGACGTTACCACTGCAGCTTTCTCACCCGCAAGAAGTCAGCATGGTGCGAAATTTAATTCAGAAAGACAGAACCTTTGCGGTTCTTGCGTACAGGTAAGAGGATGTAAATCTGCTCCCCCATGCTGCCTTCTGTGTTGACACAGCCAAGGTCAGTGTAGCAGCCAAAGCCACCTGGAATTTTGCAGAAGATGTTGGATAAGAGTGTGAAGCAAGCAGTCTTGTCAGTATCTAATATTTTCATTACTTTGTAAGTCAGACATTTACTTTTACAATTTAGCTGTGTCTGGCTCTTGAAAAACTTCCATGCATTTAATGGAAAACCTGTCTGGAGTCTGAATTCAGAACTGTTTTTATTCAAAGACAGCTGGGCTTTTAAATTTCATACAGAGGTTACTTTTCCCTTTCAAAACTCACAAGTTGTGCCAACACAACAGCGGGAAACTGAAGCTGTCCTTCAAGTAGCCTTTGGCAAACGAAGGCAACATGTGGTGGAGACAGGAAATGGAAACAGGAAGCCTCCCCGTCATCCCCAAATCCTCCCCCCAACATATATATGCATAGTGCTACTAATTAGCAGTGACCATCGTTGTCTAACAAAGTGAAAGAATGTTTACTTTGTGAAATACAATTTAAAACTCTTTAGCCGGAGGTTATTTCAGTGACTCTAACCCCCCCTTATTTAAACTGTGCTGCTTGCTTTCTGGAGCCTTGTGTGCTAGCTTTACAGTGAGGGTGACTGCTGTAAATTGTTCTCCCCTCTGTATTGCTTTTGCTGCTTTTGTGTATTTAAAAGCTAAAGCTGAAAACTCTTCCTGTAAATTTTTGTCTTGGAAGTAATATGCAAGAAAGGGAAGCCCAGTTCGGAACAACAGCAGAGATCTATGCTTATCGAGAAGAGCAGGAGTTTGGAATTGAAGTAGTGAAAGTGAAAGCAATTGGACGGCAGAGGTTCAAGGTCCTTGAACTTAGAACACAGTCAGATGGGTAAGAAACTTCCAACATCCTAGAGGGAGATGACTTTGTGGCAATGTACTGTTTACTTGATGTTTTATAGTTTCATTGTTCTCTTTGCCTTCTAAGGGGAAAGTCCAGAGTTCCCAACCTTGATGGTTAACAGAGTCACTGTCAAGTGTAAAACTGTAGGGACCTCAGTTTCAGCTTCATCTCCCAGCCCAGAATGTGACTTAATGTGGAGTGGGGCTGTGGCAGTGTTTATAAATTATTTCTGGGTGATTGTAACATCCCTCCAGGTTTGAAAACAATACTGTAAGCACCAAAGAAGCACCTGTTGAGGCATTGCTTCTTTGAGATTGAAGAGCTCTCTGCAGCATGAGAGAGTAGAGGGCAAAAGCTGTGCTCAGTATGCTCACCAGGACAGGTGTGCAAGTGGCAGCATTGCTCTGCTGTTTGAAAGCTACACTGAGGAAGGACATCTGCCATGTGCTACACCTGAGCTGTGCCAGCCACGGAGTTTGGGACTGTGTGCAGTGTGCGTTTTCTATCATCCCAAGATGTCTTTTATATGAGGAGTGAAGAAATGCTTCTGTCTCTGCACTCTGTGAAGTTTAGAAGTTTCCTGAGGATCCTGGCGTAGTTCACATAGTTAGGTTTTCATATGATCAGAAAATACTGTGTTTATTTTCCCATTAAGTTCTGCTAATTTAACCCATCCTCCTCAAAGGAAATGAAGTAGAAGCAAGCATTTCTTTTATCTGGTGTTATGTCTTGTTTCTGGCACACAGGAAGCACATGTAGTATCTTAGGGGACAGCCTCTGGGCTCTGCCTGTTTGTAGGGAATCTGGTCTGTGGTCAGAATTGAAAGTTCTGTCATGCCGCTTTTATTTCATATGGCATCTGAGCACAGGAAGGTTTGAAGGTTTTAGGTACCAACAAGAATGTAAGCTTCATGAGGGCAAGATTTGTTGTCTGTTATGTCCATATTATAAGCAGCTGTAAATATTAATTTACAAAAGTGTGTATGAGTCAGAATGCATTTTGGGACAAGAAATCATGTGGATATTGGGTGGGGTATCCAGAATAGAGGGGCCTACTTTTCTCCTAGACCTTCCCTAGAACATGTCATTGTACAGACTCCAAACCTTTATAGGGTTGTATGCCTGAGGTCCTCAGTAGACAAGTTGCTGGAGAAGTGACTGAAAATGTTGTGGTCTACATTTAGGACAGTGTTAAGTGAATGAGTACAAAGTGATCTGGGGGTCTGTTGTGGTAATTAGCTGGTAGTTTTGTTACTGTGGATTTTGCTGACACTAATAGTTTTTAATTTACTTCCTGTATACATCTTGTTACAGTTTGATTATCTTTGAATATTATTTTCTAGAAGTGACAAAAGAAATTGAGTTGGGAGAAAGTCTGTATGTGACTTTAATAATTGTGTAGAACTCTCAAAGACAAGCTGGACTTAGTCACTGTCAGAAAGTAGGCAAGAAACGTGGTTGCAATGTAGTGAAGATCACCATCACACTGATAGAGGTGGACTGGCCTTGGAGAGAATTCTCTCTAGTAGTCTGTAGACCTACTATATATTAAGGTCTCTCAAAAAGACGTGTCTCAGTTTGAAAGCCCACTGTGGAATAAGATTTCTTTTCCTCCACTCCAACACTGGTCCTGAAACTACCGTCACTTCAAATGGGCAAGTGAAAGAAACCATGAAGGTGGTCCAGGGCAGTCTCTTCTTTTTGCAAATGATTGATAAGCTAAGTCCCAGGGAGGTCACTTACCCTATGCAAGTAAATACAGATGACTTCATCCACATTCTGACTTCCTAACTAGCTGTCAGCCATTATACCAGGATTATTCCTTAGCATATTGGGAACTTAATTCTAGGAAAGCTGTAGTTTAAGATTCATCTTTTTGTTTTTAACCAAATGACACTGCATATGTGAAGTACATGGTTAGCTTCTAACCTTTCCTGTTAAAGTGTTTTTCAAATACATAGACTTAAAAAAACACACACACACACATAGAAGGGTGTATACGAATTGGTTTAAGACTCTTTATAAATCTGTTTCTTAGAAGTGTACAGAAAAAGACAAATTAACATCCTGTTGGAATTCTGAGACTTCTTATCTGTCATATTTGGGATAAGTAATTTTTAGTCAAAAAAGTTTGAAATATATGTATTATAAACATTTTAGCTGAAAATTCTAATAGTGTAACATTTTGATTTTTGGAGAGACAAAGTTGTTTACTTTGAACTTGGTTTGCAGATCCATTTGGATGTAGATGCTCTTGGATTTTCTTTATACATTATCCATCTAAACATGTGGGTCACTTTAACAGGCATTACAATATAAGTGCAAAATCTTAAATTTTGTAGTTTTTTTCCCCTTAATTTCTTGTGTAGCCTGTTATAAAATCATGTTGTGATAATCATAAAGTAACTCTCATAAACACGTAGGGGAGAACCAACACACACATATACATACACACACCCCAGGCGTGTTGAACAGGGACCACGAGGGCTCACTTCCTCCCAGTTCTGAAAGTTGGTACTGCAGACAAAGGCCTAGCATGGTCGAGGACATTGGTTCCACAGTGTCTTTGGTGCAATAAATTTTTGTCTGGAAACAGGGAGGGAGGGAGGGAGGGAGGGAGGGAGGAGAGAGAGTGTGTGTGTGTTTGTGTGTGTGTGTGTGTTTCCTTTCTTTCTCTGTTTTTGCTACCTGGTTATTAATGACAAAGAGTGTGTGAGGCTCACAGCCTAGAGATTTAGGGATGGAGAGTTGTATTATCTAAGAAGATCAAAGAGTTAGATGTGTCAAGATAATCTGTAGGCTGTATGCTGAGTTTTTAAAATAAATTGTGCTTCATTTGTGCCTGCATATTTATCTGAAATGTATAATCTCTTGAGTCTACAAGTGAGACTGAAATCTAAATTATGTCTTATATTAAGATTTATTAAACAATTGTTTTGAGAATTTCTTATATACATATATAGCATTTGGTCTATTTGTTTAAAGTGGGGAACTTGGGAAAATCTTAGTATTTAAAATTATCCTATATCGAGAAACTCACTCAGTGTATCTTAAAATGAACAACATGCTTGCTTCTCTTTATTTTAGAATCCAGCAAGCTAAAGTGCAAATTTTGCCAGAGTGTGTGTTGCCGTCAACCATGTCTGCAGTTCAGTTAGAATCACTCAATAAGTGCCAGATATTCCCTTCAAAACCTGTCTCTTGGGAAGACCAGTATTCATGTAAATGGTGGCAGAAATACCAGAAGGTGAGACACTAATTTCTTATACATCTTCTAGACTGAAGATAGGTTGCTTTTAAAAAGAGTAACAACTGTCATGACATTGTTTAGACACTGTAGTTTGCTTGATCATAGATGGATTTAAAAATAATTCACAGGCAGTTGTTTACGAAAGATAACTTGCAGTAGTGGTGAAATGTCACACAATTGTAAGACACTGTTGATACTATGCTTATCGTGTATGTATTAACAGCCTGTGGCTCTTGATTCCATAGAAACCGTAGAAAACTCTAATCCATATTTGGCTTTTGAGTTAAATGCAGCCCTGAAGAAGGGACAGGATTGTTTGGGCTGCCATTCAGTGGCAGCAGAAAAGAATGCTGTCCTTAGACCTTTCACAGGAAAGCTTTGTCTGTTGTTTTGTGGCATACTGCTGATCACAACAGAAATTGACTTGAGAGGGTAAAGTATTGCTTGTTTGGTGCTGGCAATGTAGTTCAGTGGTTGAGGTCTTGCCTACCATGTTCAAGGTCTTGCATTTGATTCCCAGCACAGAAGAAAGCCAAGGGTGCTTGCTTGTTTGGGCATTACAACTTAGGTATTCCTTTGGCTAAACAGTTCACCTCTTAGGATAAAAGTGAAAACTGTCCTGCTTCATTGGTTAGATATGTACCTCACTGTAGGTGTATGTGTCAATACCTTTAGGTATAAAACATGCTTTCTAAGTTGATGATTTCCCCATAACTGAGAAATGTACTAATTTCTAAGTTTAGAATAAATTGGTTTTTTGGTACTTTCTAAAAATACAAGATTATTTCCATTGTAAACATAAAAGTTCTGTGAATCTTCCCTTACTCTTCTTTAAGTTAGGATAGGGAAGGCTTACATTTTGTTGTAGATAGCATACCATCCCAAAGTGATGTGGATTAGTATATAATTCTCGTGACAGGCTCTCTCTCCTTTTCACTGCTCTATCACATTTAGTGCTCTTCAGTTTCTAGAGAACTTGAGGGAGAGTGGGTGCTTGATGGTCTCATAACTGTTAAGGTATACAGCTTTACCCATTTCTGTTAACATTGATGCACAGTGCAGTATGCTTTAGTTTTTCTAAGAATGCTCTACAGAGTATAGTTAGACTGCTTAAACACTTGCTAAAAGAACCTTGAAAGTAATGTTATGGAAACTTTGACATTGTTGTTGCAGGCAGCTTTGGTCTATCTGTACAGTACTTCCTTTTCCAAACTGGGTATAGAGATTTTTAATATATCTACCCTTATTTATTTGTCAATACAACATTGGGGAATTAATGTTCATGATGATTTTAAGCATAATTCTTAGAATAAGTATGTCAAAAGGTAGTTCTATCAAGGAGTGTTGTTTTGTATTTATCAAGCAATTTAGTACTCACATGTCTGCTAAAGAAGTGATTATGTGGCAGATTAATCCTCTCAAGATGCTTGCTTCCTACATGTCATGTCAATATTTAGCTGTTCATTTTAGTAACTGCTATCTTTTCAGCAGGGCTTATATTGAGATTTTTAATTCAGACTGGGACGGTAATGGGAAGTCTTAACTATCTGAAGTTTCTAAATTTACTCCTCTTTGAAAATTAGTAAGTATAGGATGGGACTGTAGTTCATAACTGACATATTGACCTGTATAACAAATCCTGTCCTGGCGATAGGACCTTGAAATTCTAAACCTAAACTTCAGTTAAGTAAATAACACAGCTTGTGAAGTTTAACATTTATATTACTTATTGGTTAAATTCTTTATATTCTATGACAACAGTGCCTCAGTATGTTTAGATTGAATTTAGAAATTTTTAGGTATTGTCACTGGCTCAATGGGCAAGGAAGCTTGCCTGGGGACGTGTGGCCTGGATTCCTGAGTCTTCTCTGTCATCCTAGGTTTGTACTCAGGAGCCCTCACTGTGGGAAGAGTTGCCAAGGCCTTAACAGAAGGAACTAGGGAATGAGGAAGGCACATGAGGTTTAAAGAATTTTTTTTAAAAAGCCTTCAGCCTTTTTATTTCTCAGATTGTTTCAACAGTTTCCTTGTTTAAGCTTAGAATGTCTTAGGTTCTGAAATTTGGAATCTTGTTCACTAGGTTGAAAGAAAAAATGTTGCTAGCAAATGTATGTTGTTCCCAGGTGACTAGTAAACTCTGTTGTATCTCTCAGACCCATTCTGGGCCCAACGGAATATAGGCTGTAAAACAGGGAAGTGCTGCAGGGATGGTTGGTTGGCCAGGACTTCCTGTTGAGACTGCATACTGAACTTGGAGGTGGACATTCTGTTACCTTGAAAAGTGGACCGTGTATTGCTTGTGTTTAGACAGACCTGAAGTCAGTTCAGTCCTCTTCATAGAATTTATTCACACTCACTTGTACAGCCCACCACAAAGTAAGGCCATACTAGATGCATCCTTCTTCCATGGCTGAGTAGTAATTAAGGTGGCAGAGTTGGGAGATTGCTAGTGTGATTTAAAGGTGGTTATCACACTTCTAATAGGAAAGATAAAGGATCCAGGAGAATATGGTCTTCCTGGGATACAGTTAGTTATCTTTGAAAGTATATAAACTGCCCAGATCATAAAGTAGTAGTGAAGCTTCCTTAAGTGTTCTATGTAGCTTCCCATTCTGACAAAGTAGCAGTAGAGAAGGTCCAACAGACATATGCCTACTCAGCATATTGGATATTGAGAAGGAAAATGTTAGCCAAGTTAATTGGGAAACACTTTAAACTCATTCCATGAGAGATCTTGATTTCCTGAGATTCAGGCTTTGACACTCGTGTTTACATTTTTTTTTTTTATTTAATCATGGCTGCTTTCTAAACTCACTAGAATGATTGGAAGAGACTGTCCAAATGGCAAACTTTTTCATCCCTCTTGAAATGCAGTCCCCTTTGTCCAAGCTCTCAGCCTGTCTGTATGTAAAGCTTGCTATGTTAATTAGAAGAGTTGACAGAAATATAAAGTAAGCAATGTGGAAATTAGAAATCTGTAGTGTTTGATGCTCATCCTTCCAGCCTGTGCTAAATAAGCAAGATGTGGTTGTTCTATTCATCATGGAGAGTAGGGCAAAAATGAGGACAAACTTACAAAGGCATGGCCTTCATGCTCTTCACAGGCTGTTTTTTTTAATGCTCTAGAGTTTATAAAGATACAGATACTCATTCTTGTATATGCAGAAGCTACAAGAAAGGTCACTACTGTTGACCTTCTCATTACTAACCACGTCTTACAGGAGATTCCATTGTATCATTTGATAGACACAGCATCATTCCTTTTTAAAGCTGCAGCAGGCTGCTGTATGGTTTACATTGTAATTTACACAGCTAGTCCTCTGACACCTGCACTAAATGTACAGATTCCCTTTACAGAGGGACCTACGTATGTATGCTCAATCTTGATAGTGAGGTGGAATGCCAGTAAAGGCTTGAAGTTTTATTTTTACAGCCCCTTATAAAGGAGTTACATACCTGCTGGTATTCATTGTTGTCATGGTTTCACAGTATACAACCATGTTTGTTGATCTGCTAAGTGTGCCTTGTGGATTTAATTTTAACTTGCATAATTACTTACAGCATTTTACTTACGGGACTTGTGTATTTCTTTGTCTATGAAGTTTCTACCCATATTTTTCCTACTGGGTCACTGGCTTCTAAGAACTCTTGACCTTTATCATCTTTGTAATCACAAGCATGTCCCTGTTTGTCATCTGTTAGTGCTGGTTGTGGTGTGCTGTTTTACAAGGGGGGGAGGGGAGAATGGGCATCTTAGTTGTATTTTAGTACACTGCCTTCGTGTTCTAAATTTTAGTGAATAACTTCCTAAGGAAGAGCATGCACAGTTTTTCTCTTGATAATGAATTTCATATAAACATGAGTCCATGTGCAGTTTATCCTGGTATTAATGGCACTGTTTCCAGGTGGCTTGTCTTTGTCCCATTTAGTTTCTCAGAGTTTGCTTTTGCTCACAGTGACTTGAGGGGCCACCTCAGACCAGGTTAGTTTATCTGTTACTTCTGTTTTTGTGTCAGGCTCTATGGACTGGACTACTGTAGCAATTCTCAAGTTCCTAAGTACTGTGAGTACAAATAGGGCCTCTGGCCTTCTCACTGCTCCTTTTTACTGAAACTTTCTCAGATACTTTTCTAGAATAGGTGTAGTCAGGTATTAGCACAGAGAGACTTGTGATTTTTTTTCTCTTGCACACATACTATGCATATATATTTGTGTATCTACCACTAGTTTATAAGCCACTAGAATAGTTAAGATCCTACCAGCTTTCATTACCAAGAGATATTTGGGAAATGAAAGAAAAACAAAAACTGTCAACTTCCAGCTTATTTAACTAAATTTTATCATCTACTTTGCTCGCTGTAACAGATCAAACAAAAAATATCTCTGGGCCCCGTGTAAAAGATAAAAAGAGGTCAGTGGGATGATTTCTTTTAGCTTCCCCCCACCCCTCCATTATTCTGTTTCATTGGCCTTTCACGGTTTTTAAAAATTCTTGCAGTTTCATTTTAAGGGCCTTTATGTGTGCTATCACTAGTAAACTGTTTCCTGAATGACTGTAGCCTCTGTGAAGAATTAGTCCTTAGCCCCTTTAATTTCCTAAACTTTCTGGCTATTGAAGTAAACCCTTTTACAAAGTAAGCCTTGGAGCAGCTCTGTGAACTGCTGATTGTTATCAGCAGCCCCCACACAGAGGGTAGAAGCCACTCAGTGCTGAAAGTCAAGAGGGACTCGGGAATTGGAGTGTTCAGTTTGGGCAGCTGCTCTGTAAAAACCAACAGTTCTGCTCCCTTCTCTTGTGTGCTTACTGTTAAAAGCACTTTACACACATCTGTTTGTACCTGTAACTTTTAGAGTAAGAATAATAATTGGATTAAAGATTTTTAGAAGTCTTTTTCTTCCATGGGAATTGAGACACTAGTTTGCTTATAGGTTGGGGCCATGCAAAAGGATGGCATCATTCAGTGCATTCCTGTCACTGTGTTAACATGTCACTTAGCTTCTGTTTTATTATGTAAATAAATGATTTGGGCTTCTCTTGATGTGTGGCAAAATTACACTTTTGCCCTACACTTTATAATGCCTTCATACTCCAGAAGTGCTTATCTTGATGTGAAAAAATGTTTAACTTCTTAGCCAGACATGTGTCAGCAACCCAAACTGAAACTTTTCCTTGGATTCTTATAATTTTGTAACTTAAAGAATTTCTAATTTTAAGAAGTAGATTTCTTCCCCAAAAGTATAAACCTTGTGTGCTGTGATTTCACTTTTTTGTTGTGTTAGCCATCTATTACATCTCTTAATACATAAAAGTGATCAGCACATTGAACAAGTGGTTAGGGTAAGACCCTTCTGTGCATATCCTAGCTACTTCCCACTACCAAATCTGTGACCCTTTGCCTGGTTTCACCTACCTTTAGAATGGAGATACTTCTAGGGGTCATGTGGTATTCTAATAGTTCTTGCTATAGTATTGTTTCCATGGCGACTTGTAGATAATCATCTATTGTTGTTGGTAGCACATCTTTAAAAATCTGTAATTGAACCATGACAGTAACCCTTAGTATAAGGTATATGGTCTTAGATGTAAAGGATAACTTACTGGAGAGGACTTACGTCTTTTGCTCTGGCCTATTTGGCTGGACTCCTGAGCTAACCCTGATTCGGAAACTGTTTTTAGGTAGTCTGAAATAGGACGTTTATGCCAGGCTATATTTATTTTTTTTCTTTCAAGTATCCACTAGTTTGAGGTGTAGTTCATGGTACTTCAGAAAGTCTATCTTTACCATGTATAAATTCCTAATATTGGCAAACAAGAATCATGTCCCCTTGAAATACACCTCTAAACCCTGTAATGGAAGAATTTTCCTTTGACATGATTACTGAATACTTTATATATTTAATATGTATTATATATAGTCTATAGCAATATTCAGACAGTGATATCCTAGGTCTTATCATTCATTTCCTGCCACTGATCTACCCAGAACAATGAACAGTTCTGCATAACACGTCTGTGGTAAGTGCCTCATATTGGTATCACACATCTTATTCTTTTATACTTGTTATAGCCCAGTTTGTGTAATACAAAGGTACTTACCATTTCATTTTCATTGCCTATCAATCTCAGTACAGCAATATGCCATGTGAGCTTGTATAGTATAGAAGCAATAGGCTGTGCATTGTAGCTTAGGTATATAATTAGACCACCCTGGTCTGTGTTGAGTGCTGTTTGTGATCAGCATTTCTCAGAGTGCACTTGTCATTAAGGTGTTGAAAGTGTTTGCCATCTATAACAATGCCATTTCAGATAATCTATTGGTAATAATCTTTTTAAAATTAGAAAATGTTTTTGTAGGATTAATCATTTTTAGATGCTACTATTTGTAGTATTCAAATCTTTTCCTTGAATTTTCATAAGTGACACTTTTTGTTTCAGAGAAAGTTTCACTGTGCAAATCTTACTTCCTGGCCTCGGTGGCTGTATTCATTATATGATGCTGTAAGTAACGTGCCAGAAACTTATCTTTTATTAGAATTTTTATAGTCCTGACATATTTAGCAAAATAGGCTGACACATTTTTGGTTACTGAAATTATGAAGGGTCATGTGAAAGTCACACTATAGCTAAGAATTCTAACATCACAATATTGTTTTCCAAACAGGTACATTTATATGTATCTCTGCATCACTAGCATTAAGTGGTACATCTATACAGGCTTGTGTGAAAAGTATATGCACTGTCACTGCTAACAAAATCACAAAAGACAGAATACTAGGATAACTTAAAGAATCTTGATTTGGAATACAATGACTGTCTTCAAAACCCAGTTTCTATCAGTTACTCTGTGGCTTGAGGCAGATGGGTATAATAGTAGCTATTGCACATAGTAAACATTAAATAAATACTAGTTGTATTTCTTAGTGAATTCCTGCCCAGAAATCTAAAGAACTAGAAAAATAAAACAAGTAATTTGAGCATGTATGATGTATGTACGACTAAAAGAAAAACGCAGTTGGCCTCTGTCCTTCAGCAGCTCATGAGCCTTACAAGGCACAGATGCATTCTGTAAAAATGTGTTAATGCCTGGAAAAAGACAGACAGCAGTTTTTCTGTAGAAACTAGTTGCTAAGTGAGGTGTGTAGACAGTAAATGCAGAGGTATACCACCATTTGCGATGAGCCAGAAAAGGGCTTGAGAAAAGTCAGAAGAGGCCAGTTCAAGCAGCAGCCTAGAAGAGTATGCTAAGCATCCAGAGGCATTTAGAATCACATACTTCTTGGGATAGATATCCTAAGAGTGAGAAGCCTGGGAAGTTGACCTACTTGCTAGTCAAAGGAGTTAAGAGTCAACCAGTTCTGCCTTTAACAGACATTGCACCTGGTCTCAGATTTAGTACCAATGTATGATTTTTAAAGGGACTGAACCTTATTGTGACTACTTTTATTTTAAACTAGGAAACATTAATGGATAGAATTAAGAAACAGCTACGTGAATGGGATGAAAATCTCAAAGATGATTCTCTTCCTGCGAATCCAATAGGTATGGCAAATAGAGCAAGCTGTGGCATGTTGTTGGGGAGGGGGGGCTTCAACATTAATCAGTTTAAACTAACCTTTGAATTCTGAAAAGGCATTTGTATCTCTTTTACTTTGAATTTTTCTTCAAGAAATTAGTATTTTAAGCAACAGAGTCTTCATATTTCGTTAATTTTCTAATAACTAAATTTGAACTGCAGAAGTGGTTGAATTGCATTTGACACTTCCTGTTCTTTATAGAGCCTTTACAAGTGAATCTGGCTCCAGAACTTAGCTTTATATGTCATCTCTATATTTGTAAGTCAACTTCATTCAAGTATATGTTTGACTTAAAGGAAGGTAACTGGAATATAAGTACATATTAATGATTCCTAAGTTTAAAGTGTGCAAACCTCACCCTGTCTTTTAAGACTTTTCTTACAGAGTAGCTGCTTGTCTTCCTATTGATGATGTGTTGAGAATTCAGCTCCTTAAAATTGGTAGTGCTATTCAACGACTTCGCTGTGAATTAGATATCATGAATAAAGTGAGTAAAGATGACATGTCTGTTGTGTAGATTGTAGGCCAGGCTACACTGTTGAGACCAGGAGCTACCTCTGTTTTATAGTAATATAGTCATATACTGGAGAAGTACCTGGTTACCTGTTCTGATTTGTGTTAAAAAGCTTCTCTCTAATCTGAAATGCTCTGTAATTTAGGCCATTCCAAATTTGGGGGATTATGAATGTTTTAACAGTAATGTCTTGGAGGGGTGTGTGTATATACATACACACACTTTTGAATAAGGTATATTAAACCTAAAAATTTGAAATTTTGTAGTCCTTAAATATTAATCCTAGGTTCATCTAAATTTATCTAGGTGGAAGTGTGATATACATTTGTACTCTTGAGAAGTTTATTCATGGTTTGGGTAACATACCTGTTTTTCTACTTCAACTTTTAGTGTACTTCCCTTTGCTGTAAACAATGTCAAGAAACAGAAATAACAACCAAGAATGAAATATTTAGGTAAGATCTTTATTACATTTAGTATACCCCTCTCAATACATTTCTAACTTACAGAATTTTTCCTCTAGTGCCTAAAAAATATACTCAATTAAGAAAATAAGCACAGGTCTGGGGTAAGGCTGTCTCCCAGGCTGGAAATATCCACAATGTCTATACAATATGTTTTTCCTCAATTTCTGTTTAATATTTTATTTTCTTACATAATGAGTGCTTCAAGCATTATCTTTCAACTAGTTACGCTAAACAGAACCAAAACAGGGCATGTCTCTGAACATGTGCTAACACTGTGATACAGCAGTTTAACACTTTGATGAATTCATTAGAATTATAAAACAAGACAGTAAATCAAGAAAATAAGGAAACTGATGTCTGCAAGGCAGCCAACTGTCTAAAGATGATCTGCCAACCTCCTGTATTCCTGTACTTATATCTGACACAAAATTCAAAAATTAAAAAAAAAAAAATACCCCGAAGAAGGAAAAAATTAGAATTACTGTTTTTCTTTTCATTCTCTTATTCTCCATATTGCTTCTTTGTTACAGTTTGTCCTTATGTGGTCCAATGGCAGCATATGTGAATCCTCATGGATATGTACATGAGACACTGACAGTGTATAAAGCTTCCAACCTGAATCTGATAGGTCGACCTTCTACAGTACACAGCTGGTTTCCTGGGTAATACAGTTGTGTTCAGTTTTTTTGTTGACTCTTCATTTAGTCTTAAGTGAAGCTTCTAGAAATGATACGAGGCAAACAGGACAGGAATAATTTTAACTAATCTTCATTCCATCAATAGGTAGAAATGAATGGGTGAATGGGAGCGGTGTATATCACTGCATATGTTAGAGCAAAAAACTGAAATATTTGTCAGCTCATTGTAAAACTTTATGATCTACTGTAACTATAACTATTGGTTGATCCACTAATATGTGGATCAGAGGCCTTAAGCAGGGACATAACACGATGTAAAAACTAGTAAATCTTGCTATATCTAGCCTGCTTTAGTCACACCTTTTTACTTTGAAATTGGATAGTGATTTTACTTGCTATCCTGCACTTAAAAAAATCCTATTTGATATCATTGTGAAGACTGTAAAACTAAGTATGTTAATGTAAACACTACACGCAGAATACTCTACCTGAGGAAAACGGTAACTTGATAACTTGAGAACAGAAGTGCCTTGTTTTCGAGGAGTTCATGCTCTCCTTCCTCTACCTCATCTATATAGCTCCAAGATTGCTGTTCTCTAACAATAATGTAGTAGAAAGCAGTGAGGTTAAGGCTGGAGCAATGTAGTCTTTGGCAAACAGCAATATAAAGAAGCTTGTAGTAATAAAATTGTCAAAACATAGTATCAATACAGTATCAAATTATGAGAAGGTAGTTTTGTAAATTTATGAGGTTTCAGAGAAATTACACAACAAGCCTAAATCAAAAGTATAAAATAGGTTTCCTTAGCTTGTGTTTTTCCTTCATTTTACAGGTATGCATGGACCATTGCCCAGTGTAAGATTTGTGCAAGCCATATTGGATGGAAGTTTACAGCCACCAAAAAAGATATGTCACCTCAAAAATTTTGGGGCTTAACTCGCTCTGCTCTGTTACCCACAATTCCAGAAACTGAAGATGAAATAAGTCCAGACAAAGTAATACTTTGTTTGTAAGTGCACTGTAAGGATAACTCTCTAACAGATTGTTTTCTCAAGTCAGATCTGCCCCAGACATCACCGCCTCTGATGTATGTGTATAGCGGTTACAGCATTTGACTACCAAGTTCAAGAGCACACTTGCTCAGAGGATGAGAAAGCAGTGTAAAACACAAGGTTGGATTCAGAAGTACCCGCTTCGGTAGCTTGGTGCCATTAATTATCCTGTTGAATATGTGGCATTGACAGGATAAGAAAACACCATTTGCAATGATGAGGAAGGCTAGGGAACAGGATAGGGCACCACTGCTCTAAATGATGAAATGTTCCAGGAGCTAGGTTGGCAAGCACAAGAGAGAGGCAAAGCAATGTATATTACTTTGAAAGAAACAAAGTCCTTTTAATTTTCTTTAGCTTGTCTGAGATACTGATTTGTAAATTTTGAAAATATTAAAGAGTAAAATAAGCAGTTTGAACAGAAAAAATAGCATTTTGTGTATTTGCACTATTTATTTGATAACCCTGTCATGTGTAAGACCCCTTTAAATAATAGTATATGTGCATTTTGCATTTATGTGAACAGTAGATATTTCTGGGATTATACCCTTTAGGAAATAAAGCAATTGAAGGGCATCTTTAAATAAAACTTACCAAACTAACACCTATGTCCAAACCTACACTATTTAAATTATGTAAAAATCGAAGTGATCAAGTAAAATTTAAAGTGAAGTACAGAAATGTAACTCCTCAATGTCATTTTTTAAGTTCCACTTCTGTTTCATTCAAGCTGCAGTCATAGTGAGGCGGTGTAATCTCACGACCCACACAGTTTCCCATTCCTTGCAGATAGTACTGTTTACAGGAATCTCACACAACACAGCAGCTCTGAGATCACTCCATTTGTATCCTTCCTGCTGTTTATGCAGGTGGAATGACAACAGCAGGAACTCAATGTTGTAAATTCAGGTATTTACTAACCTGTGTAAAGAAGTTTCTGAGGCTCCCCTTTTTGCAACATAACCCTGTTAATCTTCCTCTTATTTGGGCTTCATCACTATAGTGATTTTAGCAAACTCCAAAAGCTGCTGTTTGCTTACATGGATACCAAGTGTCTAAATCTAAGCTGTATCCATCTAATTAGTAAAATAAACACTTGTGTTCACTCTTTGTGGTACCTGGTAGCACTCTCAACACCAGCCCTTCAGTTATTCCTGTAACAGTCTAAGCTTTGCACACAAAAGGAAATCAAAGTCCTGTGTAAATGAATGGTGTTGTGGACTAATTAATTTTAAAATCACCAATCAGCTAAGGCAACATAAAGTAGTTAGTTTAGCATACACAAGTGTTCTTTTGGAGTTACCACCTCCAGTCTAAACAAGTGACAACTACACTTTTCTCACTGGCATACTCCTACAGACTTGGAAAACTCAGAGTTAAACCTATATGAAGAGGAAGTAGACTTGCTTAGTTTTCTATGCGTCCATACTGAGTTTACTCTTGCTGCTGTTTCTTAGGATTTAAGTAAGAAACGGAAGGAAAGAAAACCAGTCTTACCAAGACGTTCCTATTTCCTGGGGAGCTCATTTTAGGTCTTCTTTATGTGACTTAGAAGTTCATCCTTTTCCATTTGGTAACCACTTTTCTTCCACTGTTCGCGCAACTGCTGCAACAGGGCCCCGATTTCCTTCCCTGAAGAAATGCCCACTTTCCTGATGTCATGTCCACTCACAGGGAAGGGCGGGACAGACCACTGCTGCATCTCCTTGAGCAGGCCATGTTCTCCTTGGTACTTGAGCAGCTCACAGACACGGGCAGTTGCGTCTGGTTCCCTTGACTAAGTGACAGAGTTTTTCACATATTAAACACTCACAATTTTATTCTACCACTTAAATATTTATATAAAGTCTACAGTTTGAAAAATTGCTTCTCCAGTTAGTGAACTATTTTTCTGACCAAACCTAATATATACTTACATCTATAACGAAGTCTTGATATGGTTTCAATGGTTCTGAACTATCTGTTGCTTTAATCAAGTCTTTTCTGTTTTTAACTATAAATAAACCCAAGTTTTTCTCTTCTTTTGAAATTTTCAATCTCAAATCCAGTTTTGTGACATCATCTTGTACTTTGAATAAAGAGGCCAAAAGAGTCATTGGTTTTGGTGAAAAGCCTTCAACATTTTTACTGACTTTGTTAAATTCTTCTAAATTTGCATTAGCAGGTAAACCTGTATGGCCAAAAAAAAAAAAAGGGGGGGTCAATTGTTTTTAATTATAAAGAATGTGTAGTGTTCTTTCTCCACTGCTTATCAGCCCATCTGTCACTCCCTTAACTCCAAGGAAACCCTATCATATTCTTGTTTCTGCATCAAGATGTAGCAGGAGGCTGAGGAGCTGTGGTCAAGTGCACAGCAGATGTCTTCTCTGTCATGCTCCTGTCTGCACCCATTCCCTACTCAGTCATTTTGTGTTTCTGTTTGGAATATATTAGCTATAATTACTGACTTTGTTCCTACATACTAAGTATTCTTGTAGAAGTGCTAACTAGGTCTAGCGGCTATTATTTCCAACCCTTTGTGATGATAAATCCACCCAACCTGCAAAGCCAGTAAGTGGCACAGCTTCAACAAATCAGTGTTCACTCTGCACTATTCTTTACCCACAAACTGTCCTAATCCTTAATCCAGAGTTTATCTTAGAATTTCATTTCCCCACGTAAAATTCCTTAGCTATGTAACACAAACTATTTTACCTCATGTACTTTAAACTAGGTATTTTGTTGCTAGAAATTCATACATAATTGTATAACCTCACCTATGTGAGGAGCCACACCAAGATCATAGATCAGATGGATCAAATGGTTTACATGGTCACCAGTAAGAATTTTCTTCAGTTCTACCCAAATCCTCTCTCCTGATATTCCAGCCAAACCTTTGGCATTTTCTGCAATTGCTTCTAGAGTCTCATGGTCATGCTCACCAGGTTTGTCGACAATTCTGCCATAAAACCTGTAAGACATTTGACATGTGACTTTGTTTTTCTTCAGGGTTTTTTAAATTTATTAAGGAAAACAAACAAACAAACAAACAAACAAACAAAAAACCTGCAAGATAAGCCTCAGAGTTTTGTTACTTCTATACAGGCATGTATCACCACATAAAATATTTTCCACTTCTACTAGGGTTGTCCCATATACATCTAGGTGATAGATCAACAAACGTGCTGTTTTTTTTTTTTTTTTTTTTTTTTTTTTTTTTTTTTGTTGTTGTTGTTGTTGTTGTTGTTGTTGTTTTTCAAGACAAGGTTTCTCTGTGTAGCTTTGCGCCTTTCCTGGAACTCACTTGGTAGCCCAGGCTGGCCTAGAACTCACAGAGATCCGCCTGCCTCTGCCTCCCGAGTACTGGGATTAAATTGGTCAGTTTTTAACAGACTGTTTGCATATACCTGTTTAGACAACTTGGATTTATTGACATATTTATGCTCTGTTACACAGTATTCTGAGTGGTCCCAACTAGTGAACAATGAATGTTCTTAGATATATACTAGCCAGGTAGGGTTATTTTCTTTTAAGGTTAGAATTTTTATTATTTTTTTAATCACTGGTAAGAAACTATCAAGATACAACCTACAGAGTATTTGTAAATGGTATATCAGATAAGGCATTAGATTACAGAAGCAATTCAAAAGCCACCTGCAAAATGTATAAATGGTCAAAAAGTATATGAAACATGTCCAGAATCACTAGTCACCAGGGAAATGCACATGAATCACTCTAGTAAGAATGGCTGTTATCAAAAGTAGCAGGTGCTAAAGAAGCCATACAGAAACACACTTGTACAGCTAAGCAGGAATAAAATAGCACAGGCACAGTGGAAATGGGGAGACTCCTCGGAAGACCAGACAGGAAGTCAGGTCAGTATCAGGTTTACTGTGTTCACTGTGGCTCACTTTTGAAAATAAACTGATTAACTGTCAGATAATGTAGCACACTGAACATATGGTACAGTGGCTCAAACTTGTGGTTAGCAAAGCCTGGCCTTGAACTCATGACCTTCCTGCCTTAGGCTCCCTCAAGGCTTAGGATTATAGGCATATGCCATCACTCTTGATGCAATATCCTGTCAATTATAACAATAGACAAAGCTAGAGATGACTGTTAAATAATCTAGACACAAAAAGACTAGAAATGCATAATCTCACAAGTAGCCAAAAAGGGGTAAGCTTAAAGCTGAGGACCAGATGACGTATCAGTGGGCAGTAAGTTACAGTTACACACGAGATGACGTTCTCATCACTGCTGCAGAGCAGAGTGACACAGATAACAAAAAAGCGTGAAGGGGATTGAATGTTTTATCATAAACATAGGAAGTGTTTGAGGGCAGATAGGGGCTGTACCTTAAATTACAATGTATCCTAACATTACATCTACATGTATAGCAAAAATTCAAACCACTGCCACCCACAAATCTATCCATGCATTTCACACTTACCAAGTTTATCCACCTTTTAAGTATGTATATTTATACTCTGATCTGTTTTACCACTCATCTAATAGCATTTTCTGTCAGTGTGTCATTTTGTGCTGAGGCATCTGATCAGATTATGTTCCAGAGCATCTCAGACTCTTAGGCTCTGTGAAGGCAGACACGTTAAATCATTCCTCACTGTGATCAGAGCACCTAGCCCAGTACATAGAAGGACTCAAACCACAGGATCAATGAAGAAAAATGTATTAGTAATTTAAAGGTTTTCTATAGAATGACTTAATTATGTATATTTCAAAATCAAAGTCAAAGGGTTGCTACCTCATGACTAAAGATAGGTAGGTACTTGGGCTGTCTCTCTTATATTCCTGCTGATGTATATGACACAAAGCAGGTTTGTGCTCAGGAAAAAACACTGGAGTTTTCTATTGTTAAAATTTATAAATTCTTACCTGAAGTATCTTAAAATGCGAAGATAATCTTCTTGAATTCTCTGTTTAGCATGTCCAACAAATCGAACTTTTTTATTTTTTAAATCTGCATAACCATTAAAATAATCAAACAAGGTACCATCAAAACCTATTCAAGAAAAAAAGGGGAGAAAAATCATTATCAAGGATTTAGTAGGAAGGAAAAAGAATCATCTGAAAACTACCACACAGTAAAAATTCAACAAGTGTAAAAAAAAATGAACAAAATTAATTTACCACCCTTGTATAAAGTGGGAAGGAGGGGAAGACACCAGACAAGCTGATTTTCATATTAATACAGAACATCAACAGCAACAGATAATCTTCTAAATATATATTCCTAAAATAAGAATTGCAGGAGAGACCCTGCCTCAAAGGAGTAGATTGAAAGTAATACAGAACACTAAATACCTTTTTCCAGCCTCTATGTACATGCATACACACCTGTGCATACATTCAGACATAAGAAAATAAACCTTAAACAAAAGCACAGTAACAGACATAGTAGACAAAAACTATTTGAAAATATGAATGTGCTTATTGGCAAGAAAAAAAGCAAGCAAGCATCTTGCAAAATACTACAAGCTTCAATAATATTCTGGGGAAAATATGTCAGTACCAAAAGAAACTAATGGCTTATTTCCCTAATATGCAAAAGCTGTTTTGAAATAAACAGACCCAAGATGGTAAAGTACCTATTACCTCAGCATTCAGGACACTAAGAGAAGCGTTTCTAGGATGGCCTGAACACATAAATTCAAAAACAAAAGCAGACCTTATAAATAAAAAAACAGATTAACAAAATCCAGAAATCTTAATAACATTTCAACCTTAGTCATAAGTTTTTGAAAGGCTTTTCAGATTTCTCTCTGACTGGGTAATATCTGTCTGGTAACAAGAGGCTGTGGCAAAGCAGGTACTCTGAGCCTACACCAGACTCTGTGAGCTGATTATGCAATCACCCACACACTGTAACAAGACCCACTGATGGCTCTGTCACTAAAAAGTAGGGAGGGAGGTTGGTCAAGTACTCTAACTAGCTTAGAAACAGTATTAAGAGTGAACCATTCATCTTGACTCCCCTTCCAGGGGAAATCTCAAACTCACATAGATAGCTACTTACCCCAAGAACTCAAAAGAAACTGAATGCTAAATTCAATTAGCTAAGCATATTGGCCAGTCCCTGTGAGATATTTCACTCTGTGCCATCAGGAACACGAGAAACTGCTACCACCTTTGGAAAATGACTGTCAATTTAGCTGTTTCACATTAAATGCTGTTTGATTATTCTAAAAGGAAAAACACTGGCAAGCTCAAACTTAAGTCTTTAAGTGTTTCCAAGCTGTTTTGGATCTATACATAAGCCAACTACTGTACCAGAATTTCGATTTATATGACAATTTCCAAAAGCTCCATATGAAAACAAAGCAAAAAAAAAGAAAGAGAAGAATGCTAAGTAAGCAAAATAAGACTATAGAGTGTATCTTTCTTAAGATCCTGTTCTAATGCAAGATTGACAGGACGGCTAACTCTCTTTCCAGCTACCATGTACAATCCCTTCATTCCCATCTCTAATATTGCAAAAAGGGGGAGGTGCTTGAACCAGTAAGAATTCAAGGACAACTGAAGAGAAAACTAGGCTAATATAAGCATTGTTTTTGTTTTGCTGATTACTATATTTAAAAAAAAAAAAACAAAAAAAAAGACTAAAGATACAAACAGCCTGGCTCCTGCTTCAGCTAGAGTCCTAATTGTTCCATTTCCAAGCCACACATCAGGCATGTTATCATGAGTTAAATGGCTTCATAGATCTGTTGAACAGATTAAATTTACTCAATGTGCTTACTGTGCTGGGCACATGATAAGGCTCAGCAAACTTGGCAAAACAACACCAAGAGTGGCTTTGTTTTATATGAAATACTACTTTAAAGACTTGGTTTTTCTGTTTTAGTGAAGTATACTGAAAATATTCTTGTTGGACAAGACTCTATTAAACCAGTTGGAGTAGTTTCAGTTTTAATTACATAAAAAGAAACACACACACACACACACATATATATATATATATATATATATATATATTTCATTATCTGGGCTCCTTACTGTCATAAATGCCTAGGCTCTGGAAGCTCCCACCATCACTAACTAACCTGAACTACAGAACTTAGCATTCTGCAGCTTTATATATTCATCTTGCCTAAACTTACTTTCTCCCTGAAGTAATAAACACAAAGAGACTGTGTAAAATTTAAAGTATAAAAATTGGTGTAGCAGAGATGTACCAAAATACTATCACAACTCATTTCAAGTCCTAATGTTTCTCCTCACTTTTTTAATATCACAGAAGATTAAGCTGACAGGTGTTTCATTATCTAGGGTAACTCTATTGCTGCTTCCTAAGACAGATACTAACAAAGATTTTGAGGTTGTATGTAGAGGCAGTAACAAAGATCTGATAGTTATTTGCCATTCTATACAACAGTTTTGGACACGTGTATAAAACACAGTGCAGAGAGAAAGTGATTGGGGGAGGGAGGTGTTACACATTTCTCTTGCACTGTCTAGATACAGTAAGTTAGCAGCCTGAATGTGCAAATGTGTCAGCACTACTGTTAAGCACTGCGTTGTTTACCTCCTTAATCGTCACTATAGTAGAACAAGGGAATCTGGCAAACACTCCTGTTGGCAGCTAGTGCGTAACACAGAATCTGAGGCCAGAGATGTTGGTGCCAGCCAACAGGATATACTGGCTCTCCCAAGTTAGTGCAACTTAAAAGGTGGACAACATTTCCATAGCGCAAGTTTACCAAGGAAAGGAAACACTCTGACAAAGAGAATTAACATGCTGTCTCGTCCTCAAGAGATTACCTAAAAACATGGAATTTATGGTGAGATCTCTTCGTTCAGCATCTTTCTGCCAGTCAGTTGTGAATTCTACCTCAGCATGCCTTCCATCAGTGGTAACATCAATCCGGAGTGTAGTAACTTCAAAATTTTCTTCATGAAGCTGCAATTAAACACAAATTTGTTGTTTTAAATTGTAGCAAGTATGAGTGTGCATGTGTGTGCCACAGCCAAGGACAACTTGCCCAAGTCTGTTGTCTCCTTCCACTATTGTGGTTCTGAGGACTAAATTCAAGTTGTCAGGTTGGACAGCAGGTGTCTTTACCTACTGAGCCTCCACAAAGTTTTTGTTTTCTTTTTAATTAGTTTTCAATATCACAAAGTATTTTAAAAACTTGTCTTCATTAAGGCAGGGTGCTGTGATACCTGCCAATTACTGTATGTCTTTTAAAGTCCATTAGTTTAAACATATAACTTTGTACAGAAACATACACTTCAAAAAATGCAAAAGAATAGTTTCTTTAAAATACCCACTGTGATTAAGATTGGTTTCAGAGACAAATGTCTAACTAGGAGAAGTGGGTGGCAGGAAAGATCACTCAATGCACTGGGCTCCAGTTACTCCATTTCAGAGCAAGCTAGTCTCTGAAACACTACAACAGCTCCAGTCTACAGAGAGGCAAAGACCAGTTTCTGGAACATACACCACTGAGCAGCAGCTGCTGAAACAAGTACTGTGTATCCTGAAAGGAGACCACCTCCAGCTGCAAAGGCTGGTAACAACATGATGTGAGCTGAACATTAAGAAGGATCTGGACATGGGATATGAGAAGAAGCACATTTCAAATGCCATATTAGCAATAGTCAGCACAGAGATTTTTCCAATCAAACAGGAGTTTAGGACCTCTTCATTGTGACGTTTGTTCTAGCATTCCTCACAGTTTCACATACTTTTCCAGACACAAAGCTGCACCTATAGTCCTACTATAAATTAAGGCTCCTGAGATACAATTACATATGAAAGGAAAAGAAACGGATTTGAAGCAGGAAAACTATGTGAAATTATTATCAGAAACATACTTTCCCTCCCTATGCAAAACCAGGGTGGACCAAAAATAATCAAGATTTGGAGCACCAGAAACTGTTGGTAGTAGAAATGAAACACCACAATGAAAACAGGATTAAGTGGAAATCAACAAGCCTTGTCTTTTTCCCCATTTGATTTTCAAAATATTACACAATTGAGCTTATCCCCTGGCACACAACTCTGCAGAATTCTGATCATTACTGAAAACTCTTAAGGGCATCAGGAGTACTAGCTCACATTTTCAGAGACTACCAACCATAGGTCAATTTGCTGAATATTGGGAGCATGTGTACACAACCTTTTAACATTGTGATATGACACTGTCATCTGCAAATGGGATGGACTGCATTCACTGCTGTCTGGGGACACATGTCCAAGAGACCCAGTCCAGGCCTCGTTAAGAGCATCATCCAAATACAATGAAAGCCATAGAAAATGCACATTTAAGGAAAACTTAAGACAAACAGAAAATGTTTAAAAGAAACACGTTGTCAAAACAATTATAACTAATAGCCTATGGAAAAGAAAATTTTTCATTCTGAAACAAGAACTGAACACTAAAAGAAATACAGTCCTATGCCATATAAGGACACTTTAACAAAGGACCTTGCTTGGTATATCATATTATATACATATTACAGTATTTGTGACAAAAGTATAACATATGCAGGACATACTTTACTAATGATAACAAACAACTATGTTACTAGTTTCTGTATTTACCACACTCATTTATAGTTATTTTAATGTACATCACATGTCATTCATTTAACATAGGAGGTATGTTCTAAGAAATATGTTGCTAGGCAATTTCATTAACAATTTAATTGTTTTTAAACTTTTTACAATAACATTTGAAACATAAGATACAGCTATAAAATAGTTAATATCCTGTTGTAAATCATATTACTCTTTTTAAAAACTTTTTTGTTAACCAGACACAAATTAGTTTAATTCTACCAGAGAGGGGGTAGTGAGGATCACCCCATACCTTAGCCCACTGGCAAGTTCACCAAGTGACACACGTGAAGCTGGTCTCCTCCATGACAAGGGTAGTACCTCGTGGAGTATGTCCAGAAAGACCTGCCTCAATCTGGTTAAATACATTCCCAGAACACTATATAAATGATGCAGTCTGAAATGCAAACTCTGAACTGAATTAACCAAAGACTATGGTATTAATCATACCCTGGAACGATGGGGAAAGGAGAAGTATCTAGGCTTGCTGAGGAGAGGGGTGGCAGGGAAGCTGAATCTCAGAAATCAAGAACCTCTTTACACCTGCAAATTAAAAACAAAATCTACAACAGAGGACTTACTTGGTTTTACCTCACAAGTTGTAAAAGTGAGTACCAAACTTATATAAGTAGCTCCAACGGATGAACAGGCAAGATTTCAGGGGGTAGGAGGCACTGACATTTCTATTTATACTTTTTAAAAATTTGGTACTGTTTGAAAGCATTCCGAAGAGCTTCCACTCACCCTGGCAGTGATCGTCCCATGCTTCTCTCCTTTGTTGTTTATCATGCGAACGCCAGCTGACTGGAACATCTCCTTCATCTGAGTAGGGGTGGCAGTGGTGGCGAAATCCACATCCTGAGGCTTCACCCCATTTAGTAAATCCCTCACTGCTCCTCCTGCTATTCTTAATTCATGATTCTCTTTGGCAAATAATTCTGAGGAAAGAAGATCTTGTTGTTTGTTTCTTAACACAATGTGATTGAAGATTAAAACTGAGATAAGCACAAGGTCTTGTCATCTCTTACAGAGAGTAGAGATCACTGAGCAGTCTTGTATGAGAATGAAAACAATAGATAGGCAGTGGTGTGTACACCTTTAATCCCAGCACTCAGGAGGAAGAGGCAGGGAGATGTCTGTGAGTTCAAGGCCAGCCTGGTCTACAGATCATGGTCTAGGACAGCCATGACTACACAGAGAAACCCTGTCTCAAAAGAACAAACAAACAAAAGTCCAAACATCTGAAATGGGTCTCCTCCACTAGACTGCCCCTAAGAACTTTGAGAATTTCTTTCTGATCCAGCAGATAGTTCAGAATTCCAAGATGCCTTAAGATCATCACTGTAAGTATGAATTTCAACAGAAAAGAAAGCAATGAACAATTCTGCTTGCTTCTCTGTGATGTATGTGTATATTTTAGAATAGAATTGTTCTATTTCTTTGGGAAAAATGTAAAGACAGTATACTTATGTATGAAACCTATGATAAATATTATAGCCAAGAACTCTTAAAAGACAAAACTGCATATATTGTTTGAAACCAATTTCAATCTGTGTTATACAAAGTATAAACACTATCCAAGGCATGCCTTGCACAGTTCATGAATGTGAACCCTGTTTTCCAGTCAGTTTCAGTCTGTGTTCTTAGCTACAAATTAAGAAAACCTAGCAAGCAACTAGCTTCAACCAGTCCACAGGCTAAGAATGCCAGCAGACAGCAACTTAGTCCTACAGAAGAACTCACTTCATTTTGCCTACCTCTCTGATGTACCACACAATGCATTTTAAACTTGTGTTGACTGATGACTTTCTCTGTTCTATGAAACCGCTTTCACATTGGAAAATGGAATCTGAGGTAACCTAAGTCTGTCTTCCTGGGCTATGGGCACTCAAATAGCTCCCCGTAAGAAGAAAGTTGAGGTTTTTAAGTGGATAACCAAAGCATAATGTCTTCTTCCTGAACACATACAATCCTCTTCAGATCCCACTTCCTCAACTCTTCAAAACACACTAATCCAGGCCCCAACATTGTAAAGTCAGTTCCAAAGCCCTCTGTGAAAGGCCGCAGGGCTCTCCATAGGCAGTATTCTTCCTTTACTGAACAGAGCAGCCTGTCCTGTCCTTGGGGATCATGCCTTCAGTTAAATCCATCCCTGGTCACAACTCAAAATGTAATCCTCAACTTTTCCTCCATACTGTCCTTCCACCGACTCTCTTCAAACTGAGCAGTCTCACTTTGTAGATTGTGTAAAATGGCTCAACTAAACAACCTTGCCTTAAACAAACATGGGCTCCTGAACAAGATACCACTTCCATAAGCCCTCTCCAATAAGTGTTCATGCTCCCTTAATTTCTAATCAAGTTCTGCCAACAAATACTGCTGTTAAGGGTCTTTAAAATATAAAAATCATGTTCACAACTTTCATAATACTAAGGAGATGCCGGGCGGTGGTGGCGCACGCCTTTAATCCCAGCACTCGGGAGGCAGAGGCAGGCGGATCTCTGTGAGTTCGAGGCCAGCCTGGGCTACCAAGTGAGTTCCAGGAAAGGCGCAAAGCTACACAGAGAAACCCTGTCTTGAAAAACCAAAAAAAAAAAAAAAAATACTAAGGAGAGTCCATGTCCCAAACAACTGAAAAACTACCCAAACTGGGATCTATTTCCTTTAACCCTAAACCAGGCCTCTAAACTCTGTTTATTCTGACACAGGGCTCTGGAGTGTCTTCATCTCCTTGTCCAATGCCAAGGCACTGGCCCCTTAAATCCAGCCTCCATAGCTGGATCACTCTAACGCACCAGAATACAATATACTAGGCAATGTCTCCTACAGATTTGCACTGCAATGTCCAAATTCTCTAGCACAATACACAAAGGCTCCCATATCTAACTTCTGTGTCACCTCTCTCTAATCTTTGCCTCACACTTTGCCTCCACCAAACTCCCTGAAGTTTACTTCCACCTTTGTTTGCACTGAGCATGTCACTCAGAGTGCCTTTCCACCATGTTCAGTCCAGCTCACTGGCCAGTGTTCAGACTTCTTGTCCAGTACCATCAACTAGGAAAGACACTGCTTACAGACAGCAGTGAAATGGGCGTTAAGGGTGTGGCTCCTCAGAGGCTGAGCTCACTGTGCTCTACACCTAGGGACATATGGGCAGCACAAATTGAAGTCGATGTATACTTTAAAAAAAAAAGAAAGGACAGAAGTTAGGGGAGTAGGAAGGTAAAGGAAGGAACTAGAGGACTTAGGATGATTATGGTCAAATTGTAGGAAATTCTCAAAGGATAAAAGTATCTTTTTGAAAAGATATTCAAGAAACTATAATATTTGACATCTTAAATATTGTTTCTGTAAGGAGGGGTGATAGAGAATGGGAAACCAGTGGCTGGGAGAGCTTATGAAAAAGAACAGGTTCAATCAGCCCCAATTAGAGCTGTTAGGTCTGCAGTGTTCAAACAGCAGCTGATAGTCACTTATGGTTACGGAGCATTTGAAATGTGTGAGTCTGAATAGAGACATGATGTACCTGTTAGATGTATCCTACATGCATAAATGTGACAAGAATAATCATTTTCACAAAAATCATACTCCTATAATAGCTTATTAGAGAAGGGTAAATAGAACACCTGGAGAACTATTAATTTCACGCATTTCTTTTTAGTTTTATAATCTAACTAGAAAAGGTTATCACATGCAGGCTTATCAGGTTTATATATTTCTGTTGGACAGCAAATTTCTAGCATTTTTCACTGATTAAATCTCAGTGAAAACCACATCATAAACTTGCATTTAAATCCTCTACTCCACCTAAAGAACTTAAAAGGATACCTACTGAGGAAAACTATCGTCTCATGTGAAGAACACAAAAGTACTCTTGGGAATAACACAGTAATTTTAAAGCAATGGTTCCCCCAGTCTGTTCAACAGAATTAGTCTGCAGAGTTAGAACAAAAGCAATAGAAGTTCATCCTTCTGAGAGTCAGTAGGATGTAGGACAGAATCCCAGCTTTTATGTTTTAAAAGTACTTCAAGGGCCTGTGAGATGTCTGAGTGGATAAGAGTACTTGCCACCAAGCCTGATATCCTGTGTTGCATTCCTGGAACACACATGGTGGAGACTACTGACTTCTACAGAGAACACGCACCCTGCTCATCCCCAATAATAAAGGCACCCCAAGTGCATCCTAGGTGATTTACACACCCATAACTCACTGTTACGCTGGAAGCCATTCTTAACATACCTACAGGCTTTCATCTGCAGCTGTGGACTACTTCAACATCATCTGCTCACAGTAAAGACCAACACTGACAAAACTGTGGCAACAGCAATTTTCTGTCTGCCTCCAAGACAAGCTTTATAGGTGGACACAGGAAAAAGAGGAAACTATTTTTATTTCCTTCTGTTCTCTCAGAAAGCAATTATACAAAAAAAAAAAAAAAAAAAAGTAACTTCACTGTTTACAAACTGGATGACACCAGACTTCAAATTTAAAATCCAACTCCTTCAGTTAGTTATTTGGGAAATAAGACAAGGAACTTTACTTCCTAAGCATGTGTTTCTTCCTCCATACAGAACACACATCAGGGTTTCACTACATAATGTATGGTAAATGGGATTCCTTAGAGACATAGAAAAGTTGTGCTTCATGCTGCAGTCAATTTCCCCCTTCTAGTGATTGGGTTTATGATTTTTAATTTATCCCAAGTAGGCCTTTCTTTCATTAGCCCCACAATAATTATTTCAATGTTGGCTAAAAGATGTTACCCCTTTATATCTCTGTGGTGGACAATTCCAAAGTACAGAAAGCTGCCTTAAGCTCTCACCTGTCAGGCTCTTTAACCCTTCTGTGAAAAGCGACTGGAATTCTGGAGACTGCAACTTCATTGTAAATAGGTATCGCTTTAGAAGGCACAATCTACTCCAACTACAGCTCAGGACCTGCCTGTGCCAGGGATACAGGCACCTCTGCATCTGGAGACAGTCAGCAACCACACATCTACAAGGCAAGCACATGGGTACGCTAATTAAAACTTCAAAACGAGACAAACAAATGCTGTCAGAAAGCTCAACTAGCAAACTCGTCCCTCCTGATGAGAACCTGGAAGTGACCCTTTAAAGAACGCTAAACCTCCCGGGTGGCCGCTACCCAGTTCTGTACTCCCGATACGTTTACTATATCAGAAGCAGGAGGAGATGAGAGTCCCAGGAAATGAAACATTAGGCTGGCAGGAACAGCGAGGTCTCCAGAATACGTCAGTTACACGTGCTCATCACCCTCCTCCACCCCACGACGGCCTCAGGGGTGTACTGCCTCCAAAGTGGGAATTTGGCGGGGTTGCCTCGGCAGTTCTCGCCCTCTGCTCGATCTTCGCGAGACGGCAGCTCTTAAAGGACCCCGAGGAAAGGGAGGCGCCGCGGGGAACGGCCACCCTCGAGCAGGCCACGTGTGTCTGAAACGCCTGCTTTTCGCTCAACTCTGAAAACTGCCGGGAGCCCACGGCCCAGTGGAGAGACCGGGCGTCGCCAAGCAGGGGAGCACCTCCGACCTCCCGCCATCTCCCACGGGCGCGTGCCACGCGGTAGCGGCGGGGTGGACTCGGTACCTTAGGAACGCACCATTCCAACGCCGAGGGCCTGCTTACTCGCTCACCGCACCGCCACACGCCCACTTCCGGGTCGCGGCGCAGTGACGTAGGACGTACGGGGGAACCGCAGCAAATGAGACCGCACGCCAGGTTCCGCCCCCTTCCTCCGGGCGGGGCAAGGTTTTCCAAGTGACCGGGGCTCCTCCTGAGCCTATGCGCAGGAGTACCTGAGCCTATGCGCAGGAGTAGGCAGAATCGCGGGCATTTTAAATGGAGGAAATAAGCCGTGTGCACTTTTCTGTGTTTGAAATCCCCCCCAACACGCTTTATCTAAACAGTTACCAGCGTTGTGTGACCGTTGCTACCTGGTCTGGAGACTTCGCCAGGCAACACGAAGAACTTGGGTTTAAGTCCTTTGCAAAGTGGAGAGACTGGCAGAGAGTGGGAAAACGGACCTGCGACTTACAATTCTTTAATCTTTCTAAGTACGGCTTAGTATTTCTGTGCTTCCTAGCACCGGGTTCCTTCTCTTCTGGGGACATGGGTATCTACATTTTGAAATGACAGACTACTTGTCCTACTCTGAGATTCAGACACAGTGGTGACTCAGTCCAAAGCCTGAAGGGAGCAAAGCTCAGATCACTCGGTTTTACCCCAGAAGACTGAGTAGATAATATTAGGATAAATCCTATAAAAAGAGATAACTGCACTGAGGTAAGATAAAAGGTTTAACAGAACAAACTCAATCTCCAAACTAATATAAGCAAATAACAAAAATAACATATTAGCAAACTGAATCCCACAACAACATACACAAAAAATTCGTCCGGGTAAGCTTGAATTTTTTCTTTTTTCTTTTTCTTTGTTTTTTTCGAGACAGGGTTTCCCTGTGTAGCTTTGCTGGAACTCACTCTGTAGTCCAGGCTGGCCTCAAACTCAGAGATCCGCCTGCCTTTGCCTCCCGAGTCCTGAGATTAAAGGCATGCTCCACCACCGCCCAGCTTTATTCCTAATGCAGGGAATGCAACTTAGAGTTAATATTCAGAAACCAGTTGAATTAACTCACCGTGCCAACAGACCCTGAAAAAAGGAGCCATAGGGTCACCCAAGAGACACAAAAGAGCTCTCGTTTTTATATACACTCACTTAGAAAATTAAGATTAAAAAGGACTTCCTCAGTAAAGTAAAAGGAACCTGGATAAAAATCTATAGCTTACATCAGACTTAGTAGAATTTGGATCATGTCTTCCTTAATATTTGGAACATAGCAGTTATTCAGTTTAACTACTTATTTCCAACATGTAACTAGTTCATCATTGATTAACAGAAAGCAAAAACAAAACAAAAAAAAATCTGCTTTATGATTGTATACAAGAGACCTTAAGAATGCTAGCAAGAAACTCTTGTAACTGATAAATGCTTGAAGCAAAGTGGTAGAATATAGAATTAAGAACAACAACAACAAAAAAAAAAAACCTGTCCCTGTATACCAATAACATGGAGAAGAAATTATGAAAACAATCCCATTCAAAGTTGTCTCTAAAAATACCCAAATAAACCTATCCTAGGAAGCAAACGACCAGTATAATGAGAACTTTAAAACACTCCAGAGAAATCAAAGAAACTAGAAGAAGGAAAGACTGCAGATGCTTTTGGGTTGGTAGAATCAACATTGCGGAAATGGCCATTTAACCAAAAACAATTCACAGATTTAATGTAATCTCCATCAAAATATCAATGTCATTTTTCACAGACATAGTGTCTTAGTTAGGGCTCGTATTGCTGTGAAGAGACACCATGATCACGGAAACTAAGATAAAAAAAAAAAAAAACATTTAAATGGGGTGGCTCATGTTTTCAGAGGTTTAGTTCATTACCATCATAGTACAACATGGTGGCATACAGGCAGATGTGGTGCTGGAAAAGAAGCTGAGATTCCTACATCTTGACACACAGGCAATAGGAAGTGGTCTGAGACATTGGACATGGCTTGAGCATATATGAGACCTCAAAGCCCACCTCAACAGTGACATACTTCCTCCAACAAGGCCATACCTACGCCAATAAAGCCACACCTCCTAATAATGCCACTCCCTCCCTATGAGATTATGGGGCCAATAACCTTCAAACCACCACAC